ATTTATTCAGTATGCAACGCACTCCTGTTTCGTTATGAAAACACTTCTTGAGTACATCCGATTTGCAATGCATGAACGCTTATCCATGGGATCTGACACTTGCGATCATCTTTTCGCGGTCAAATTGCTACTCTTTCAGATATTCTTCCAAATATCGATCTGTCAGAAAATTCCTCCTCAGCTACTTTGCAAGTTCTCTTCTGTACTCTTTTTAAACACTTTTTGATATCGCTTCTGGTATTCGGCTTTTTGCATGGCTGCAGTGAAGTGGCGGGTAACTAGATCATGATCTTGCACAGTAATGTTTACTGTAATGCTAACGACTATCCTAGCATCCAAGCATCTAATGTAAACACTGTCTGGTTGGGAGACGCTTCATCTTATTTTGCAGACTGCAATTCCATACTGATCATTTTTATTATTTCTACTTCCCTACATGTGTATCGTAAACCCTTGTTTACGTCAGCATACTATTAATCGGGTGATTGATTGGGCTTCCTCATATTTTTCTTCTTATTTCTACTTTCGAACTTTTTAATCTAATGAATTGTTTTACTACTATCGTTACAATTAACAAGTAATCATCAGGTAATCACAACACAACGACATGTATTTTATCAAGTCATTGAATTTGCAAAAAAGTTTCATATCATCGTCAATTTAATGATAAGACATGTGGAGATGCACATCTGGATAGGAAAGTGATTTACAAATCTAAACTTTCAATACTATCAGTTGACTGATCATTTACACTATTCGCATTCTTTCGGAACATTTGTGCCATAATTACAACTTTTTACGCTTCCTCTCATTTGAATTCTTTTCTTCCACATTCTCACGTTTCCACATTCTTTCCACATTCATCCGTAACGTCAAATTGCTTGGTCTCGTTCGTATGGCGATAGTATTTTTTAAAAAAGCAGCTGTTATACTATACATCGGGCATTATCGTTCATCTCATTACGATCATTCCTTACGATTGAAGTCATTTGTAACGATAACGAGCACACCTCGTAAACGAGTGCTTTTTTCTTCAAATCCATAACCTGGTGCATTAAATTGCATTAGCCCAATGATTTTGCTTGCCATATTAGCGCATTGAAATTGATATTTACGTGTTGAAGCGTACCACTCTGTGTATTCGTCGATATTGGTTCAGGCTGTATCGACCAATATTTTATCGTTGAAGCTTGCCTCATCTCATATTTTATCGTATGTTAGTTCAGCTGAACTAACGGATTTTATGTGATTTATTCGGCGATTTGATTGATTGATTACTCGAGAAACGCTGGTTTCCGTTTGTTCGCTGATGAGTTTCATTACCATTGATCATGTTGAGTTTGTGCTTCTGCTGACATCTTTTGTTGTTAGGGAACTGAATGGGAAACATGAGAAAGATGAGCATATTGCATTAATCATTATTGTTTACAACTGGGTGATTGATTGCTGACGAGAGTTAGGAGAGTTGGACAGGATCAAACAGATATCTCAACATTTAATCATTTTTCTATCGTGAGAATTTTATTCAGCAGGTTTTCAACGTACTGAAACAATTTGTCATCGGAATTTACTATCTGATCCAGTTGTTTAATTGAGATTGAATCTGAAAAAGTTTCATTAAATCCAGATCGTAAAACATTCCGAAACACCTAATCACTGAGAGATATCAACACGGATTCACGATTGATTCAGCCTCATCGAGAGTGTTCACCGCTTTGTCTCTTTAATCGACGAAACTGATTGCTGATCTATGAGTAGCTCATTCTCTCCTACGGTGAACAAGGATATGCTTGTTCTAGATATCACATAGTTGATCACCAATAAGCCTCGATTAGTACAATCCGTCGTTCTGCATCCCAAATCTATCGTCGTCATTTCCATCAGCCCATTTTGCTGATGTGTGAAGTTTTCGCGTATTCCCATATTTTTGCATATTCCCATAATGTTCGGTATTCAAATTTTCTCTTCTAAAACAAAGCAATTCGAACGTGATGACAATCGAGTTAAATTTGCAGTGTCACATTGCATCCATTGAATAATAGAAGGGAATCGCCTAGTATGGCGGCAAATTATTTATTAATTCTATTATCGGCGCGTTTAGACTGTTAAAGTTGACTTTGCTGATAAGCTTGTCATCACCGATGCCGTGTGCTGGCAGCCGTGCACGAGCTGCCACGTTCCTTGTTTGTGGAGTGCAAATTGCGTTCCAAAACAGAATTATTTCAATTGTAATCCCTCTGCATTTCGGTACATTTTCATTGAAAGGTAAACATTCAAATTTTCATAGAGAATTTTTCAGTTGATTTGCATAATTCTATCAAGCAAAGCTGTTTGATCTATTCACATCAACAAAAATTCAAGCAACGAGAAACAAATCCCCATGCAGCAACTCTCCAATCACCCTATTGTATAGTCTCAGCTCGGTGCTCAGATATCATAATTTGAAGTTTCTTCAAATTGTTGCAAACCGTTACAGCAAGCATGAATTGGAATGCTCAGAATGGTTGCTCCATCAAAACTATGCAATGCTATTCTCCTTTATAGCTGGAAATTGCTGTACTAGAGCAACAAATTGCTATATCACTGCTGCATTTCAGCTCGTACAAGCGGAGTGCTACTGGTCGCTGGAGTTGGTTCCTATATGGTCTATCGCATGTTCGTTCGGTTCCTAGGACAGAATTTTATGTGGACGTTGGTCAATCAGACCCGTGTCGACACGCTGAATCGTTCCGATATACGTCTACTGCATCCAGCAAACGTATGAAGTCGTTTTTATCTGCATCCTCATCTTTTCATTATGTAAACGGCAATCAGTTCGCTAGAACTTTGCCCAGTGTACAAGGCATTGATAGTTATGTCTTGAAGTGTTGTTCACCGTATCCTGCGAAAATCATTCACTATGCAAGTTTGCAAATGATCTATCTTTGATCACTCTGCGTGGAGTTTGAATGAAGCGAATCACATAAAGTGAAATGGTCCAGTAAATTAGCATATGTCTGAATTTGAGGTGTTGCGTACAAGTGAATGTTGTTCGTCGATGTTCGCTGACGATGAATACAGCAGCGGTGAAACGGGTTCCGTTGTCAGTGCTTGTACCAAAAACACATTCATCTCAACGGTAAGCATTGAGTGTGAATGCTTAATTACCTCTGCATGAGAATTCATTTCGAAATTATCGTCGATTCAATGTTCAGATCGATAAATATTCTTCCAAGTCGTACTGTTCACCGTTCATAATAACAGTATCTGCTGATAATTCAGATCTTCCTTGACGGTCATAAGTTTCAAATCGTACTTGAACTTCAAAAACTTTACAAATCATTTGACATAATGTTAAAGCATTTGCCAGGCTGTTAGTGTTTCTGTTTTGTTTGCAAAACCTCATTTTCCGAAACTCAGTCAACGAAGGTGATCATTCAGTTATGATATAATCGTTTTCAAGGAATACTCTCGCTCAAGAAGGAGGTATCTTTCATCACGATCCGCACGTAATCGTAGTCATCCAACTCCTTTACGAAAAAGGGATGAGAGGAAGGCGATGAAAGGCGAACCTGTTGATGAGAATTGTCAAAAGTGAGTTTTGTGTGGACATATTTTTGATGAGATGGAACATTGTAACATCTTTTGCTTTGTTCAAATTTGAAAATAAATTTTGCGTAAATGGTCACTGAATTAACTTTATTCAAGATCCTCTCTTCATGTTTTCACCGTTTAGAAGGCCGGATCATTCGCTTTTGTTCACGTATGTGTTTGTTCATTCATATTCGCAGTTGGTCGCACGACAATTTTTGCATCGAAGATTATCAAATGAGATTATTCAGGAAGGAGTTCACACCAACACATCATGTCTATTGTCGAAGTTTTTCGGCAAGAAGCGAGAGTGAAGCATCGCGAGGCCTTTCACAAATTAGTATCACACCGAGTGAGAAATCTGCATCGTTGAGATTGATCTGGGATGATCCACAGTGGGACAGTGAAGTGGATCTAAACGGACAAGGTTGATTTTCAGCGTTCCAATATAGTAATATCTGGCACCGTTTGTGAATGATACTTCAATTACAGAGAAAAAAATCGAATGGGATTTCATATAGAAGAACATTCGAAGATTCAAATTCTCAAGATCATGTCCTCATTATAATGTGCTTGGCAAGGGCATTTGCAAACATTGTGATGACCTGATTTCTTCCAGGACTATTACTTGTTTACATAGAACAGTGGTTCTCACATGCGGGTGTTCCATTACCCCTTTTGATGGTCTGACAGGCCGCCGTTACCCCCTTCCCCTTCCATTAAATTTGGAAATTGCACACGTTATGTTCAGATGACCGTTACGTTCAATCTTAATAACACGTTCATGATGGTAATCCACATCGCTGGGCATTTTCTTAGACCGCTGTGTTCCTGAGTATTGCAGTAGATTATGAATGCATGAAAAGCTATTGTCTATGACACGCTCATACACTTCGAACTGATTTCGATGAATTCTCATTCTTTTCGGACGTGTTGTATTCGCTCTCATCGCTATCACATGCGAATACCGTTCTATTGATCAGTTTTTCTCATTCACTTCATCTTATTTAACTTCACTGTTCAAATAAACTTCTCATTCTGTAGTATATACTATTTACTGGATACGTTGACGATTGTTGACAACCGAAGTCAACAATGCAACAATCGAATATTATTGCTCAACAACGTCCGACAGTCAAATGATCAATTATAGAGTGTGTTTAATAGAATGAGAATT